GTCACTCAGAAGAACACCAGCATTATTAAGTTTGCTGATGACAGCACAGTCATGGGAATGATCACCGGGGGAGTGGAGACGGACTACAGGGCTGAGGTGGCCAGGCTGGTGACGTGGTGTCAGGAAAACCATCTCTCCTTGAACACCAACAAAACCAAGGAGATGATTGTTGACCTGAGGAGGAGGAGGGAGGTGCTGCATTCCCCCATTTTCATCAGCGACACTGAGGTGGAGAGGGTGGAAACATTCAGATTCCTCGGCACACATATCAGCAGTGATCTCACCTGGTCCTACAGCATTAAAGAAGTCACAAAGAGAGCGCACGAACGGCTGCACTTCCTCAGGAGGCTGAGGAAATTTGGGATGCCTCCTGAAATCCTCAGCAACTTCTACAGAGGTGCAGCCGAGGGTGTGCTCACCAGCGCCATCACTGTGTGGCATGGGAACTGCTCCCTGCAGGACAGGAAGGCCCTCCAACGTGTAATAAAAACTGTCCTAAACATCTCTGGACTGGAGTAGCCTTCCCATCCATGCAGGACATCTACACCAGTAGGGTCATCAGGAAAGAGCCCACAGCATCATCAAAGACCACACACACCCACAGCACACACTCTTCACACCACTGCCGTCAGGGAGGCGGTACAGGAGTGTGAAGTCAAGGACCACAAGACTTTCAGTTTCTTTCCTCAGGCCATCAGACTCCTGAACAACCAGAAACACTGACTGATCACTGCTGTTCAATGCTCAATGCACAATTCCATGAACGTGTCACCAGGCACTGAGCACTTTAAATGTTTATCTGCTGCTACATCACCTCATTGATGCTGCTACTTGTACATAGTTGTTAAACTGCTGTTTTTCATGCTGCGCATATGACAACAAATATCTATCTATCTATCTATCTATCTATCTATCTATCTATCTATCTATCTATCTATCTATCTATCTATCCAATTGTTTTGCTCCTATCAATGTAGGGTTTTTCTTTTAAAATATATTTAAATATTTTATGCCAGGTTGTTAACATTAATTATTGTTAATAGGAGTGGTATGGCCAAGAGTTTTGCTTGTGCCGCGCCTCATCAAGGGAGCTTCACAGCCGTCCAGTCGCCATTACGCACAGGCTGCGTAACACAGACAGCGGTCTGGTAGGATTTAAAAAAAAAAAAAAAAAAAAACTGCTGTATTTGGATGTATTCAACACCATTAGTAATATACAAGTGAAATATATAGTTTGTACATAAGAACCAGGGGCGGATCTACCGGGGTGGCAT